TTTCACTGCCGAGAGACGCGGATGCCTGCGCTGCAGCCCACATAACGTCCAGAGTCTGAACGCATCGGCCCTTTTCGAGATCCCACTGTCGCAATGTCTTGTCTGCCGAGCCGGACACGAGCGTATCGTTTCTGAAGTGGAGTGCCGTGATTTCGTCAACGTGGGATTGCAGGGTGTAGAGGTGGCAATCTCTCATGCTTCCTTCAGGAGGCTCAACCGGTCCATCGTCGGGGTTCTCAAATGCGATGCCATCTTCATCTTCGTCCCTTCCGTACTGGCTTCCGTGGGGGTCGTAGTGTGCCTTGCTCAAGTCCCAAAGTCGAATCGTTGCGTCCATGCCACCGGTCGCGAGGAAGTTGTCGTCAACCTGCAGTGTGCGAACTGAGGCCGTATGCCCATCCAGCAAACCGATGCATCGTCCAGCATTAAGATCCCAGACCCTGATCGAGTCGTCCATGGCCGAAGTCACCATTGTTCCGAAGGGTGCGTCAAAGTCGAGAGCCGTAATCGTATCCTGGTGCGCGCGAATTTCCCTAATAGCCGTGCCTGCTTCAAAATGCTCGTGCAAGATTGGCATCGATTTCCGGCGGACCACTCTTTTCTTTGCCTTTGATGCAGGTGTGCCAGCTGTTGTTGGGAGTTTCTCGTACACCGACTGTGACATGAAACCAGAGTCGTCCTCACCAGCCAGGTCTTCCTCGGTCTTCGTAGGTGTGTTTATCGCAATCGACTCGGCTTCGTCGACGAGCTCCTGAGCGTCTTCTAACCGTGTCTCGACATCCATGACTGGAGCCAGTCAGTACCGAGCAAGTCACCTAAGAGCTCAGATGATTGTGCAACTCACGGTCATGTTCCAGCAATGTTTCCTCCTGCTCCAAGTTGGCCAGTCTGTCCAGGATGATCCGGCGCATACCGTGCAGATTGGCAATTTTGTTGTCGATGTCACGGATCTCACTACTTGCCATGTTTTTACGAACACCCAGCATCTCGAGCTCATGCATCATCGAGGCCTTGTCTTTTTTCAGATTGTGCAGCGCTTGCGGTGTGCCGGCAGTGTTTTCCGTATCCTCCAAAAGCTTCCTGCCCCTCGATACCCGCCGTCGGTGCTTCCTACCTTCTTCGGTCAGGTCCGGGAAGCTCGCTTTGAAACCCTGGAAGAGGGAGTAGGAATTGTCGCTCTCGGGAATGTTCGCTAGCAGTTCGTCGGGTAAATACGTCAGGGCGCGATGCTGGATCTCCGTCGTGGACAGCTTGGACCGGACCATGTCTGTCGGCGTGGTTTTTGCCATGGAAAACATGCTTCGTTGGATAGTTGGCCGCCGGAGCTGCTTGTGAACCTCGGCCAGGGCGCCATGGTAGTGGTGATGATTACTGTTCCCTTGCTCGGACAGAGGACCCATCAAATGGCTTGCTGTTGTCGTGACCTTGCGCCCGAATGCTTCTATACCGCGAGTCTAGGCACCGATACGACACTTTGGTCAATCATCCAAGTTACGACGGACAAAGTGGTCACGCGAGTGGCAAAGGTCAACTTACAGACAAGACGGATTGGTCGTCTCCGGCGGCCGCATCGTCGTGGAAGCCATACTGGTCGTGATCCGAGGCGGCCATGCGTACGTGTGCTCTCCCGTCCGATGTGCGCGACAATGAGTGGCACAAAGGGGGAGGAGGCGAGGGAGGACGAACGGGGCGGAAAAGGAGAAAAGGTGGTGATTTCGCAGCTGGGCGTTGTGGGAACAGCTCGCTCCGGGTTTGTGCTTCTTGTCGACCGGGTCGAGTTTTGTCGTCTCGGTCGAGAATCAGATACGTATCCACACTCCAAGCAGAGATCCCGGCAAGAACCCGGTTGGGGACGCCTCCTGTTCTGGATGACGCGCTAAACACCCGAGAAGCTCCCTGCACGGGGCACACGGGCACACGGGACACCTGGGCACGCTAACGAGGTACGAGGCTGCAAGATTTGGGGGGGCCACTTCAACTGTGAAGGACGGCAGGGGCCACTGATTGGTGCCCGCTTAAGCCACCCGATCTCTTGGGGGCAGCGACCTGCAGGTGCAGTGTACGGGGGGTCGGAGACGGGCAGCCTCGCGCTTGTGCCGCGTTGGGACGAGTTTTTTTTTTCTCTTTTCTGTTCTGGAGTGCCCGCCGGGGACTTGTCCCTTTTCGCTGGGAGCGTCATCGGCCTCGGTTGTCACCCGCCCGCACCCAGCCAAATCCTCACGACCGTCAAGCTTTTTCCCCTTTACGACCCGACAATAAGCAGTCCGAATGCGTTACCCGCCCCAACCCGTCGTCCAAACTCCTTCTGCGCACCAGCATCACTCCCAGGGACTGGTCTACCAATATCCAACCGGCTTTCAATCAATTGACGACGAAATGGACTCTCTCATTGACCTATCGGACCCCTCCAAGGCGTTGGATTTGTCCCGCATTCGCTACCAGTTGATGTCGGTTCCCCCTCCAACCTCCAACGCTGGTTGTTGACTCACAACTAACAACAACGACCAAACAGTCGTCTCGAAGATACCATCACTTTTCACCTTATCGAACGGGCCCAGTTTGCTCGTAATAAAACGATTTATGTCCCCGGAGCGCTCAACATACCAAACAGCGAACTGAGCTTCATGGACTGGTACCTCTGCGAACAGGAGAAGCTGCAGTCCATCATCCGCCGCTACGACTCTCCCGACGAGTACCCCTTCTTCCCCTCAGCCGTCCAGAAGCAGATCCTCAAGCCCCTGCACTACCCGCGCATCCTGCACCCCAACGACGTCAACGTCAACAACCAGATCAAGGACTTTTACGTGGACAAGTTCCTCCCCGCACTCTGCCCCGATTTCGGCCGCGAGGACCGCGGCGAGTCCCAGGAGAACTACGGCTCCTCGGCTACCTGCGATATTGCCTGCCTCCAGGCCCTCTCCCGTAGGATACACTTTGGCAAGTTTGTCGCCGAGTCCAAGTTCCAGTCCGATCCGGAAAAGTACACAAAGCTCATCAAGGCCGAGGACCGCGAGGGCATCGCCGAGGCCATCACCAACGCCGCCGTGGAGAAGAAGGTCCTCGAGCGCCTCAGGCTCAAGGTGTTGACCTACGGAACCGACCCTTCCATTGGAGCAGGCCCGGAGAACCAGGCCAAGATTGACGCCGATGCTGTGGTGGCCATGTACAAAGACTTTGTGATACCCCTGACCAAGGACGTCGAGGTCGAGTACCTCATGCAGAGATTAGAGCCTGTAGAATAGACTACAGAATGAAAGACAATTGCTTAAAATCATATTGCTTCTTTTTAGCGGGGATTCTCTCCTTCTATTGAGATGCGCTCAGGTATTGCTCCACCGCCTGCACTGCACCCTCCCACTTGCTAGCCTCAATCAAGATGAGGTGGCCGTGCGACTTGACACCCATCTCCTGGAACGCGCGCTTGCTGTCCGCCACCGCCTTCTCCTCATTCGTGAACTGGAAGGAGCCGTGGGCCACAGCGTGCTTCACAAACACCTCGTCCTCGGGGTGGAAGTGCCACAGCGCCGTATCCGCCTTGGCCTTCTTCCCCTTCCTCTCCGTCTCGGTGAGCGTCGACTCGATCTCCTGGTACGTCTTGGACAGGATCAGGTAGTGCGTGAACTCGTAGGGCTCCTTGTCCTCGACCGCGGCCTCGATCTCGTCGACGAGCATGCGGTACATGGGCGGCGCGATCTCCGAGGGCATGTTGATGAGCCGCTCCGTCAGCACCAGGCCCACCTGCGCGCCGCTGTCGTTGAGCACCCGCGGGACGGCGGCGGCGAGGGCCGGGTTGGTCTGCGACTTTTCAATCATGTATTTGGCGAGATCCGCCATGGCGGGCTTTTGGCTGTGCTCTTGGACGTTGAGCGCCGTCATGAGCGCGTAGGCGTCGTTCTCCTTGCCGTCGACCTTGACTGTCGAGCCGATGGTGGGCTGGGACAGGATGAGGTCGGCGAGGCCTGAGATGTCAAAGAGCGTGGAGTCGACGTCGAGCAGCTGGCGCAGGAGCGTCTTGGTGCCCTGGAAGTCGACCTCGGGGTCGAAGTTGAACCACTCGAAATCGACGTTGACAACGTCAAAGTCCTTGTTTTCTCAGTGAGTAGGATGGTCTCTGGTGTGGGAACGATAGGGATTCGTCTCTCACCTCATCGTCGGAGCTCTCATCGGCCATCTTGACATCCTCCGCAGGCTTGGCCTCGTCTCTCTCTCTCTTCTTTCCCATCTTGAGATATGGCGTTGTGAGGAAGGGGTGTATTGAGTAAGTGGTGGTTTTTTTTTCCTTTTCTTTCTTGCGAAGAGGCTCGACCTGTAGACAAATGTTTAAGAGCAAGACTTTTGGCAATTAGATTGTCACTGCACCCAGCTAACTTGGCCAACCCTCATCGGTGAAGACGAATTTTTTGGTGGGGGTGCCCCTCACTAGACTGATTTGGGACGGGCCGGCAGACGGCCCCCTTATCGATAAGACCGCCGCCGCCGCCGCCCGGGTTCCCGGAGCGGGTCCCGCTCCATCGCATTGTCAAGTCTCGGAACCTCCGCTTGATCAAGATCCTAATGTGGTGACGCATTCCCAATTGAACGATTGAAATTCTATTACAAAATAACCAGAAGTGTAGAGGCTCTCTGGTTGAAATTTGATGTCCTTTGTGTAAAGCAGAAGATTACCAGGAAGTGACCGGGCTGGCTCAGTCATGCCAATGAATGGCCTTTGCCCTTTTGCCCTCCGCTTTCCTTGCGCCGAACCTTCCATTTAGTATAATTCTCTTACAAGCTGCTCCTCGATCACGATACCTCTTTGTTTTGTTTGCATCACCAAAGGTCGGTCTTATCCAGGGGGTACCGTCTGCTTCGGGGAGCGATGCGGATGTCCCATGACGTCCCACAGGTGCTCCAACGCCATATTCTTTCTTTGCTTCGCACTCCATCTGTTTACCTATTTCCTAGCCCTTCCTTCCACCGGTTTTCCCTTCACCGCTCTCGGACCGTATTCATAACTCCCGATGAAGGCCCGCAACACGTCTCGCTCTGGTGAAGTGGAGAATCTTCTCCTGGGTTAGTATGCCTAAGCATCCCGGGATGAGCCGATTGCTTACTGACGCCTTTTAGGCTTGGTTTATCTATTCACCATCGTCACATTGTCGGCCGTCTTCAGCGTTGAGGTTCGCTGAAATGGGGCATACTCGCAAGAAGAGAAAGGGGCATAAGAAACGAACTTTACAGAAAGAGAAGGTACGTTTAGTGCGAATTTCCTCAGTTGCAGCGCGTACAGTGGTAAAAGTGTCTAACGAGTATTTAGCCAGATAATGAGGTCTCGACCTCGTCATCAAGTGCTCGCCAGCACGAGGCGCAGGATGACGAGGCATCTGCATCCGATTCCGACTCGGACTACGCCAACAACCTGGACCTAATCCAGGTGAACCTCAAACGCTCTCCCGCCCGTATGGTTTACCTCATCGACCACATTCCACACACGAATCTTCCGCCAGACGTCGTTGCCATCCAAGACCCTCCATCAGAGTTCGCTTGGAAATCATGTCCAGGCTATAACATTGAGTATCTCCCAGCAAGAGAGCTTTTGGGAAAAGACAACCCGAAAACGATAGAAGACCCTGTTCCAGTCAAGCTTGTCGGTTTTTGTGTTACCCAGTCGATCGATACAAGCGACTGGAGGATCGATTGGCGGGAACATGATAACGACCACTATAGCTCGGTAGCTTCCTTGTTTCTCAATACATCCTGCGGCGAGATAACGATTCATAACGTCTACAACAACAACAAGCAATCCATCTCCATGTCAAAATTATTGACAGATTCAGATCATCCTGTCACTGGCGAAAGTGCCATATTGGTTGGGGAGTTCAACCTCCACCATCCGGGATGGGGTGGAGATGGGGTTGCGCAAGTTGAGAAAGACGCCGAGATTCTTCACCAGGCAACAAGCATGGCAGGCATGCGATGCTTGTTGCCACCCGGCCTAAGGACTTACTCACGGCCGGCTACCGACTCCGGCGATTTCTCAACCACGATTGACTTGGCCTTTGCCGGTCAGAGGCTTGAGTCTCGGGCTCATCCCACTCGAGCGCTGTCAGTACCTGGATTCGATTCAGACCACCGGCCGCTCCACACCAGGATCTCCTTTGCGCCCAATCGAGACAAGAAGCCACGCTTCAAACTGGGACAAATCAAATGAAAAGAAATACTGCAAAGAAGCCAAAAAGCAATTGCTCATGATCGGCTGCCCCACTATCCGAACTGTAGCTTAGGTTGACGACCTAAATAACGATTGAGCGCAGTAAGAGGATACATTACTACTTACTCAAGCGAGGTCTGCATCTTCCAAGTCAGTTCCTATCTTCCCAGTGGTGTTTTACTTGTTTGTATACTCATTCTTCTGGTCCAGTAGACTAGCTGATTCCCCCCTTTCAACCCTTCCAAAGCCACGGCCAATGAATCGAGTTCATCACACTTAGTTGCCACATCAGCATTGCTGGGTAGGTTTTATCTTCTGAACGCATCAGCAGCATCTAATAGTTGAGCAGTGTGTCGAAGAGCTCCAGGTAGTTGTTTGTGTTTGGTTGCCCTGTATTGATTTGGGCCAGGATACCTTTGAGGTGATCCTGTATGTCGACGATCGAGCTACGACCCGGTGTATCCGGTTCTTGTAGCAAGGCTTCTAGGCCTATGATCAAGACAGGTATGTGCTTTCCGGTAACTCAGTCGAGGGATGAATGATACTAATATTTCTCAGTTATTCTTGCTCGAAGAGGGATCTGTCCCCCAGCCACAAGTGGATTGATAAGCTGGTGGAGGTCGAGATCCTTCAATAGCAACCACCACCACCTCGGCTGATTGCTGATGAAGTGGTGAGGCTGGTGCCCTGATGTAAGTCTACGATACCAGCCATTCAAAATCATCAATCTAACATATCTTCAACCACAAGGCAAGGCGTGCTCGAATGTAGCTTCCGAGTGAGGAGGAGTCGCTCATGGTGAGCAGTTTGGAGTGTGTAGGGATCAGGGATCAGCAAAGTCACTGTTTGACAGGTATGATATGGAGCCAGAATACCAACTCTGTTTTTACTGATATCCGGTTGCTAGACGCGAGTTTAAATACTGCCATCTTCCTCAACCTTGATGGAAACCATCGTCAGTAAGTTGTGTTCGAGCTTCGGGGTGTTAGCTGACTAACTTATTCCTAGGTCTACCAAGGTTGACGAAAAGCTAGAGTTTATAGTTTCTGGGTTACTGCTATGGACAGGCAGAAGAGAGTACTTTACGGGGTTCATAAGACTACAGGGTTGCTCAACACCCTTTTAAGGGGCGGGGCACTACTTACTTTTGTTACAAAATGTCTGCGTCCAGACATACACCACTGAGCATATTGCTCGAATATCTGGGTATATATCGATCCAGCTTGGTGGCTATCGACCAACATATCATTACTGGATAAACCATTCAGGGTACGGCCGAGCGAAGTGGGGGTTTAATTCCGTGTTGACGTTTTCCCCCGATGTACTCGTTAGGTAATAAATAAAAACTATGTCTAGGCATCATGAGTGATGATGTTTCAAATGTCTCTGTATATTCTGTGCTTCTATCCTTGATTTTCCATGTTTTATCCGTTTGATGCGCTGCCAAAAGATATCGTCCATTCATATATTGATTGGGGAAGGAAATCGCGACCAGTGGGTGCCTCCCTTTGCGTACGTGTCTGGGCTGCCTTAGATACACTGGCGCTCAGCCTTCAATTAGGCACCCCCTATCAATTGAAAGTTAATTTAGTGGGTTGCACCAACAACGCCCTGAACGCCCTGACGCCCTGAGGGTACAAGCCGCAAATAAGAACCCCGTTCCACCCCTGGTGCAACAAAGCCGTGAGATGTCATCCTCCTCATCTTCCCCACACCGGCTCATCTCACTGTCAAGCCATTCGACGAGGCTGCTCTCATAAATCTGACAATTCTGCCAGTGGGACTCTGAATAAAGCTCGAGGAAACTGCTGATCAGAGAAGATCCAAAGAAGCATTCACTATCGCAACCTCTTCTGACTCAACGCCATTGGCAGCAATGGGTGTCTCCTTTAACTTTCTCGGCCTCCCACGGGAGCTACGAGATATGGTCTATGAGCATTATTTGGCAGTCGAGGGAGGATACGTGTGTGACTCGCAGGCCTTCATCGATGGAAAATTAAGGGTAGGAAACCACGGCAGCCCCATTGAGCTGAACCTCATTTACGCTTGCCGCCGAGGGTTGCGACGGCTACTTTTGTGAAGACTTCCCCCGGGCCATGGCAGATATTGCTGACGGGAACGCAGGCTCCTCCGTTTTGCAGTGCAACTTTGACGTCAGCCAAGTCTAGGATGTAAAAAAGATGATCCACGACCACCGATCGTGGCCGCTCGAGAAGTGGAAGGCAGAGTGGCCCACACACGAACCAGCTCTGTGGGAGACTGTGCCCCCTTTGCCAGAGTGGATGGCTCTGTTGGAGGAAAACATATTAGGATACGATGAAAAGGCCAAAAAATAGTGGTCGAGGAGCAGCGGTACGTACACGGCGATGAAATCACAACGACCGGCACACTTGGTACCGTCTCAACGACGACGGCTGAAAGGGTAAGGGGACACCGTCCTTTTTGCGTAATGTAGGTCAGGAGCACCGTGAACTTTGATCCTTGAAGTGAAGGGGCTAAGTTGTCTGAAAGATGGATGATGTATAGAGTCCAAGGGAGACTTCCTCGTGTCTAAAAGCTCAATTTCAAGCATCTTACATGCCGTTGGCCCAGTCTCGTCAATGGCCCTACTGATTCTACCAATCCTCGCGTAATTTATTTACATCTTGTCAGAGCCAGATAAAAGATTAGGAGATGACAGATTCCTTCCACCCATGACGCCCGGGGTGGTCTTGACATGGATCATTCTCAATCGCCTCACTCTCGCGAGAGACACTCACAAGCATGGAAACCGAGTCACATCTAGATTCAATACGTCAACCCTCTCACCAAATATGTTTCAGAACTCCCTTCTCTTCTTTACGCACGTGCTTGAATCGATCGTCTTCCTCCTCGATTTTCATATGCTACTGTACGCTCTGGGTCCGGCCAGCCTGCGAGATACCTCCCAGAGCACAGAACTCTTCAGACTATACGAGGTTCGACGTGGGTACTGATGGTCGACAAGCAAGTCCTTAGTCATACAAGTGTGGTCATCTACATACTGGAGATCGCCTTGCAGGCCTCCCTTGCTCAGCTAGATAATGACTATCTTCATCTCACCACTCTCAAGACATCGCACACCTAAAGAGCAACAACGAAGAAAACTCACACGCGGATACTATGGAACATCTCCCTTTCTCCTTGCCAACACATGATCATTACAGTCCCTCTACCTTCTTCCCCTGAGCCCCCTTCTCGGCTTCCTCCTCACCAACCCCTCCTACGCCAGGCTCCTCCAGAGCACCAGTGCTCTTCGTCACCGCCAACACAGTAGGCAAGGCAAACACCAGAGCTCCCATGCTCAACCCCCAATTCATCGCAAGCTGTGCCATGGCGCTCGCCCGCTGGGCGTTGATCCGCCACGCCATGGCCCCGCCTGCCGCCTGGAACGCCTTGTACGCGCCGACCAGCACCGCCGCCCGCCCCGTCGAGTTGGACTGCGCGCCCACGAGCCAGTAGCAATACGACTGCCACAGCGAATCGTAGGCCCCGTATAGCACATACAGCACCATGGGTCCGGCGGCTGACGTCCTCGCGCCGCTGCCCGGCGCGCCCTGCGCGTAGTCGACGTCCTGCGCGTGGCCCCGGGCCCGCCGCGCGTCCTGCCACCGCTGGAACCGGTACCCGCCGCCCCAGATGGCCATGCCCGTGACGAAGAGGACGGCCCAGCCGAGGCGGGCACGCCCGGGGCGATCGAGCGCGGGTAGGTCGAGGAGGAGGCCGATGAGGAGGCCGCCGACCATTTGGGCGAGCCAGTAGAGGGCGCCGTTGAGGGAGCGGGTGCGGAGGGTGAAGGTCATGCCGTTGACTTCGTTCTGCTGGTACGAGTAGAAGACGTTGGCGCAGAAGAAGAGGGGCAGCATGCAGGCGACGCGCCAGGTGCACAGCGTCGTGGTCGTCATGGTCACGAGGCTCTTGGCCCTGGCGGCGAAGCCGGAGGCGGAGGCGTGTGAGCGGTTGCGAGTCTCCTCCGCCTCGGTCACGGCGCTGAGCTGCGCGAGACGGATGCGTTTCGGGGAGCAGATGAAGAGGCCCAGGGCCCAGCCGAAGAGCATGACGGCCATGAGGGCGATGTACGTCGCGTCGTTGACGGTGCCAGTGGTGGAGGAGAAGTTTAGGCCAAAGGCGGCGAGGCTGCCGACGCCGCCGCCGAGGTTGAAGATGATCCAGAAGACGGCGATGGCGCGGCCCTTCTGCGACTCGTGGACGTAGGTTGTCATTATGGCGCCCTGGACGATCCATATGAAGGAGGAGCCGATGCCGAGGATGGCTCCAGAGGCGATAACGAAGGTTCCGTTTGCGGTGTCTTTGGGGCGGTTACATTTTGTAAGTTTTTGTCAAGGGGGAAAGACGGGAGAAGAAGGGGGGGGGGGGGGGGGGGGGGGAGAGACGGTGGTGACCAAAGAGCCACCACTGACGGGGGCGGGGGGGCCCCCCCGCGGGGGGGACGCCGTCATCGGTGCAGCGGGGGACGAGTCGGGCCCCGAGGACACGAGGGCTCGCCGCGACCGTCGCGGGGAGGGGGGGGGGGGGCGGGGGGGGGGGGAAATACGATTGAAGTTCAAGAGACTTCCACTATAGAGGGCGTAGGTCCAGCCTCCGATGAGGAAAGCGATCTTCGGGCCTACGAGGGACAGGATTGGGCCCACAAAGAAGAGGGACGCCACGGCCGTCGTCGAGAGGAGGGCGACGGTTGCGTTGGCCGCTACTGTTGAGTCGACTTGGCCGGAACCTCCTAGGCCGGTGAGGGCGTTATACATCTGTATAAGAGTTTCTGCGTCAGGATTTTGTGATCTCTCAGTCACACGAAGGAAGGGTTACTAACTCCAGGTAGACAGAAACAGATGAAGCTAATGAGGATGATTCTGCGGGCACACTTTAGCTGTTGCGACGAGGGTAGTCGGACTCTAGACGGATCCTACTGTGTCCACGGATTCGAGTACAGCCTCATGAGCTTGGAGTTCTTCCCACCCTCGAGA